AGGTTTTCCAGGCAGGAGAGATAGAATGAACTACTATAAATGGTTAATAGAGAATATTGGAACAGTGAGGGTTAATATTTGGTTGAGAAATATAGGTTAAGATATAAGAGGAGTATGGAAAGGGATAAATAACATCAAATATATTTTCTTTTTTTTTTTACTTTTTTTAAATTTCTTTTTTTTTGAACATGAAATGATTTTTTATAGCATGTTTTACAAGGGGAGGGGGTAAGAGGGACCAGGTGGTGGAAAAGTACAAAATCTTCTTGGCCTGTGCCTTGAAACATGTCATGGTCTATACGGTACACTGCCTTGAATTACCCGTGATGCCGGCTGTTAGAAGTTCTAATCCAGATGGGCCAGAAGCCAGAATCCTTGCCCTTACCCTCAACCCCTACCTTTTCCCACCTGCACAAGGTTCCCTGAAGCTTGGCAACTGCAAGATCCTGCTTGGCATCTGCAGATAGACTCAAAGCAGTGTACCATATCATCTGAAGAATAGCAGGGATACCATAACTCAAGCAGTGTACCATATCTTCTGAAGAATAGCAGGTTGCAGTCCTCCTCACCCCCACGAATAACTAGGACCTGCCGGTCGGGTCAAGTGCACCCAGATGTGGGGCTCGAGGCACGGACCCCTCTGGACGGACCCTCATTGAGAGGATGTGCGCACGACATCAAGATTGAGCAAGACAGAGATCATCGCCGGCGACCTGTCATCCACGGAACCAGGTCAAGAAGACGGTTGAAGTTCATTACCATCAGCCAAAAATTGAAGAGGATCCAGAAGTGACTCCGCAGGAGACTGATACAGCTGCCAGCTCCCCTGCCTCCCCCTACGGTCGACCGCTAGACTTCCACGCCCTCCAGAAGGGTTCCTGGTATGCCTGGCTTTGCTCTCGCTTCTCTCGCTAGAGAGCTTGGCCTCTTGATCACCACAACAAAGATTGGCTTTTTCCTAAACCAAGGCCGCCCTTGATATGGCCACTAACATTGGGGAGCCTTCCTTTATGACAATATTACACCCCAAACTGACAAATGGTTGGTAACTTGAACATTTACAAGAGACTAGGATGGCTGTGAGTTAGCCCAATGATGGGATTTTTATAGGTCCACTTCCCAGGGGCCCACCCAATGCAGCCGAAAAGGAGTGCGTGGTGCTGGGAGTGGGTGCAGCCTACATGGCCTAAGACAGGGCTCTCACCCTCCTTCCACCCACATCGGAGTCCCTTGACGTTGCCCATCGTCGACAGCCTAAAACCTTCGACCATTGATGTTACTCGTCTCACATCAGTGTTTTGGGGTTGTGAACTTGTCTAAGACCCCCCATAATTAGACATCCAAGTTCAAAATTCACATAGTTGGGATTGATCATAAGATGCCTTCTCTAACTAAACAGAGAAGGGGGAGATGCCAGAAGCCAGGACCCTCGCCTCTACCCTCACCCCCTACCTTTCCCCACCTGCACAATGTCCTCTGAAGCTTGGCAACTGCAAGATCCTGCTTAGCAACTGCAGATAGACTCAAAGCAGAGTACCATATCATCTTAAGAATAGCAGGGAGACCATAACTCAAGCAGTGTACTATATCTTCTGAAGAACAGCAGGTAGATCATAATTCAAGGCAGTGTACCGTATAGACCATGACATGTTTCAAGGCACAGGCCAAGAAGATTTTGTACTTTTCCACCACCTGGCCCCTCTTACCCCCTCCCCTTGTAAAACATGCTATAAAAAAGCATTTCATGTTCAAAAAAAAAAGAAATTAAAAAAAAATTTAATAAAAAAAAAGAAGTAACTCATAATTATTTGTTAGCCTCTAGTAGGGATATTGTTGCCCTCTTATGATCTCTCTCTCTGTCTCTCTGTCTTTCTCTCCCTCTGACTCTCCTTTCGCCTCCCCCTTCCCCTCCCCCTCCCCTGTCTGAATTTTCCTACTAGGGGATAGTTGTTGAACACTGCTGTCTAATAAACCACCAAAAATTATAATCTTTTTGCCATTGTTCTTGGTTACCCTCCAGAACTGTAAGGTAAGACAATATTGGCGAAGATATCACATAGGACATGGAAAGAACAAGCTGGTACTAACCGGAAACCTCACCTCTACTGGTTAGCTTTCATGGTGCTAGATGATACTATATAAGCTATCAGACAAAGAAATGATAATCAGTCTTACCCAACTGTGAACTAAAATAATGATTGGTTGGGGAAGATATGCCCACTGATTTAATATAGGTACAAACATCATGGGACTTGAGGCTTGCCCTGTGAGATGAAACATATAACTGGCACTATTATCTGGCTAAAATCCTATAGGGCCTAGGGGAGAGGCTATCAGTTTTAAGATGCTAAATGGTTAAGCTAGTAAAATGTTAAACTAATTCCTAATGACCCATAAACTGATGCATTTCCCAACCATCATCAGAGAAGCTTTTATTTGAGGATGATGACTAACACAGAGAACTCAAATTGGCCAACAACTATAGAATAACAGATTGTAGACGTTTTAGCTCTATAGGGGAAATATATATCAACCAGACTCTTGGCAATCATCATGGAAGAGTCGAACAAAAGAGGAAAAGCACCTGCAGTGGTTGATTACAACAAACAGCAGAGCAGTCACACATACACACTTCACAGTGCTTTTACCACAAAACCTATGTTAGCCTTAGGTCAACTCCTAGCATCAAGAGGGGAGTTGGGAACACAATCCAACTAGAAGCCATAGAATTATAGGCAATTGTTAGGTCCTGAAAGAGAAAGAAATTTTTTCTAAGAGTATAGGCACTGGTAAGTTGAAAACTATTCAGGGAAACCCCACAGAATCATGCCTATTTGGGCACCACAAATTTATCTTGAAGGGTTTTTTTTCTTATTTTTTGGACAAGAAGTTGGGTAGGTAAGGAAGGGGGGTAAATCAGGAAAGAGTTGAAAGTGTGTGTATATGATAAAAACACTATTATTTTTATCATAGAACTATTTGAATTTCTCACTATTTAAGAAAATTTAATATTTTCTCAAAAATGCAAAGATTATCCAGGACTTTCATCCATTAATGCTTTCATTACACACAATACTTCTTTTGAGCTAATAGATGGTTACTTTTGATGATAGACGCATGCCATTTGTTGCATAGGCTATTATGTCACGTGTCATATTTTGGTAATATAGAAGTGTTACCACTGTGGACAGGTGCCTAATTTTATTTGTCCTGTCTTTTTGTTATATTCATTATTACTATATTAGAAAATCTCTCAAAAGATGAGCCTAGCCTTGTAGAGACTTGAAGTGCCAGGTGGGGAAGATGCCCAGGAGGCCCTGCCCACTCAGGAGAATGGGAGGAAGGATGTGGGAAGGATTGTGGGAGGGGGTGACCATGAGGGGAGCAGTGAGCATGATGTAAAGTGAGTAAGTAAAAAATAAAAAATAAAAAATAAAAATAAATAAATAAATAAATGAAAAAAAGAAAAAAGAGAAAAAAGAAAGTCTCTCAAGACAGATCTTTCTTCTTATAGGAGAATATGCATCTAGAAAAATGGGCCCAGCAACTTGAACGTGGCTTCCAGATGGCCAAAATTGTATACATATTGAAATAAATTCTACTAAATAAAAATATTCACATGCAGAATACATGTGTACTATTGTAGTAATGTTGGTTATTAAACACCTAACCTCCTGATTAAGAATAAAATTTGTTCCATCATGGCGTATCAATGGCAGAGTACACCCATGGTTAATTTCTCTATGCTGTTCTTTTGCTCATGATTTATTTATTCACTTTTTAGTCTGTGGCTATTTCATGCATACATGTGTGACCAAATTTTGGTCAGTCTCAATGTCTATTACTCTTTGTGATGCACTCCCCTCTCCTGATGGAGTACTTCTATTTCTAAAAACATAAAACAAACCACAAACAAAAATCTACCTATTACTTTTCATGTTTTTCTTTTAAGTTTAAACACACAAGCACTAGACATATCTCGTAATAGTGATTATATATCTATGTTGGTGCTTGAGTAATATAATTCTGTGAAGAGTCCTATAGAATAAGAAAAGAAAAAAGTGCCTGTATTTCTCATTGTGAAAACTGTACCATGTCCAACTAGAGACTTGTTGACCAGTCAGCAAACACTCGCATAATATTTATGCAACTTTCTGCTGGTCACTACAATTTTCTATCTCAGAAAATGTCATATTCTTTCTCAATATACTACTATTATTCTATTTATTATGTCTATGCAGAGTCCAATGTGTGGTAGTTGAGATACATACATACATACCTACCTGAGATAGATAGATAGATAGATAGATAGATAGATAGATAGATAGATAGATAGATAGATATAGATAGATAGATGACAGATAGATAGATAGATAGATATAGACAGATAGATAGACAGATAAATAGACAGACAGATATGTATAGATGTATAGATATATAGATATATATGTATATATTAGGTGTCTAATATTGAAAATGTTTATATAACCATTATATACATTTAATTTTAAATGTAAAAGATAAGCACCCTGATTTTCTAGGTTTTTTTGAAAACTAGTAAATGAACAGCTTACAAAAATAGGGATAAGACTAGAATGAAATGACTTAAGTACTCCCCTTTGATTTAAGAGCCTTTAAAAACCAGCAATAAATGTAAGCAATATTATAATACAATGTTTTATAATATCAGAAATATTGACAATGAACACAATATCTATATAGCAATTAAAAGTAGGTTAATTATGAATCCTAGGCTCTAATATTACCACAAAGGGAAAAATTAAAATAACACAATTTACCAAATCCTCTAGTAAACCAATTCTTTCATGTAATGCAAGGCTACATCGTTTCCCTGTTATAACTTTGTCACTACATGGTAGGTTACTATATAGAACAGCAAACAAGCAGCAGGGAGCTAATGAAGGCCCAGTTAGCTTTGGGTGAAAGAGTAATATTTGGGGGAAGGATGCTGGAAAAATGTCAAGATAATGTTTAAGTACCTACTGTTTTTTATCCAGCGCTGATAGAAGCTCTTAATCAGGTCCCCTGCAGACACTGTGATAATAGGGCTGATTAATTCATTCATGCCTGAAAAAAAATAAAATAATGATCATGTGCAGCATGCAAGACTAGGAAATTTTCCCAGCTATACAAAATGATACACCAACATGGATTACCAGAGGCAAAAAGAAGTGAGCAAATAGCTACATCTATCCCTTAGCGGTTGCAAAATAGAGTGTGTAAGCTGTTCTTTTACCATCTGACATCTCACTTGACCTGGCAGCCTTGGAAACGAGTGAGAGCAGATAGGAATGCCACTGACAGGCCTCACAAGTCACTCCCTGGTCACAAGGTGCTCTTAACTTTGATGAGTTATCCTAGAAAAATCCCACAGTCTCTAGTCAAACTCCCAACATTATTGGAGAAAAGCAGCTTTCTTTTCCTCTGTCAGCAGTCTTCTGAGAGGTTCTCCTGACTGCAGTTGTCTCACTTCTTAGAAAACACATGAGGAAGGAGACTCAGCTGGCCACTGGTTGTGAGCCTAGCCATTTTTAGAAGTGAAATTTCTTCACAAAGATGTCTCATACATGCCCTTGTCATTCTTGCTTCTATGTCTTGCTTCTATGTGGGGTAAGTATGGACACCAATGACTACACCCCATATTCCTGCATTGCACTTTATCTAGTGATCTCCTGCTCACGTTTGCCAACTCATCTGAAATATCCTATTACACATTCAGTTTTTATAAGCACTGTGTTTCCAGGAATCTCCTAATAAACTGAAAATACGACAGAGATTTGTTATACATTACACTTTCAAGTGGAATAAATGTCATAAATAAAATGTTATTTAGAAAGTCAAGAGGATAAGATATAAAGAGGTATATATAAATATGAGAAATAAACTTGGTAAAAGACCAAAGGAAAAGAACACAAAGGGAGAGAATGTTGTCTAGGTTTGAAGCAGGATTACCTGACAGCCATCTTACTACATCATAAGTGTTGAGAAGAGTCTAACTATTGGGAGGATAGGGCAAAAAAGACACCTGGAAAACAAACGGTGTGCTAGCCTCAACTTGTAGAATGTATCATTAAGATTACATGAGATCTCTCAAATAAAATTCAGCAAAACAATGCTTATCACCAATAGGTACTTAGTAAATACTGTCAATCCTTTCTTTTGTCTCTGTCATTTATAAAACAGGATTCTAGAAACACACAAGAGTCTCAATAAATGTATTGGAAAAACTAAGTAAGAATAGTAGTGAAAATAAAAATGATGAAAGGTCTTGTTTTTATTTGTTTTAGTTTGGGTTGTTGTTCTGGATTTGATTGTTTTGTTGTGCTGCATGTGATGATACGACATGGAATATAAACTTAGCAGGTAGAAGCAGGAGATGCCCAAGCTTGAAGCAAGCCTGTGCTATGCAGTAAGCAGCCAAAAATATTTTGTCTTTGAAAGAAGGTGACAAAGTGGACTAAAAGGACCCCAGAAGAGGATAAGTAAAAAAAAAAAAAAGGCATCACCAGAGGTCTCCAAACTCAGTTATCTGTCACAGGTGATAGAGGAGAAAATTCACATTTTTTACTCAACTAAGCTAAGCGGAGTGGGTTTGCCTGTTTCACCTAACAAACTAGAAACAAGGATCAGAGATTTTGTTGATTTCTAACTTCCTTTTCATCTGCTTAGAATCAGTGTTTTTAATTTTAAAGTCAAATCTACTATAATTTCATTAGTGAATTTAAACACTGCATTAGTGATAGAACTGAAAGCAGTTTCCATGATCTTCACAGAGAGTACACAGTTATTTCTCAACAGTTACTTAAATAACTTATGGAAATCACTATGGATTTAGGCACATTTCCATGGGAAGACAGATGATAGACAGCTTCAGTGCCTCGTATCATAAACAAAGGCTTTCCAGGAAAACTCTACCAATTGAGCCAGTTCACATATGGCAACACTCAGGATAGCAGGTTTACCGTGATAGGCCTGGTAGTGATATGGGTAACAAATCAGCAAATAGTATTGTGAATTCTCATTATCAAAACAGATTAAGAATTTTAACATTAGACTTTATTCTTTATTAAAACCTTGCTGATAATGTGATAAAAATCTATTAATGCTTTAGCTTTATAAAGGAGATAACTGAAGCAGTTATCTTAAAGGACTCATCCTTTACTATCTAATGAGTTAATGGCAAAGCCAGGGCTGGACCCTGTCTTAATACAAAAGCTCATGTTTTTTTTCTTCATATCATGTCTTTTTACCAGTATAAATTATCTGTGTATAGATATTCCTCTTTCTCTCCTATAGTCAAATCATTTGAAGGTAATGTTTGCGTTATTAAGAAATTTTTAATTCTGTAAATCAGACAACCACATACAATCCACCAAAACTCAATGTCCCCCTATTTTCTTCAATATCTTGGAAGCTGATATTCCTTATGATATAAAGAACAAACAATAATGTATTCCTCTCATCAACTCCCCATTCCTCCATTCCCCTAGAGAGGAGCACAGATGTGAGCACAATCTTTACATTAGTCCATCCATTTTCATTGGCACTCAAAACCATAAGTGAGACTCGACTGTTTTTCTGATGCTACAAACTGCCGAACAACTGACCAAGAAAGAAGGAGTTCAGTGGCAAAATGAATAATAACCATGTTTACAAACCAAGTCAGAATGTTAGATGTCATGTAAAATGTATACCCTACCCTTAAAACATATTGCCTCACAGGAATGACCCATAGTCACAGAAAAGATGCAAAATCTCCTAAATTGAATAGGTGAAACAGGAAGACCTATAGAAAATTGCCACAGATTTAGGGTACACACCTAAAATAAATTTTAAAGTAGTTAAGCAATCACAAGGCATGTCCCAAAGCAATGATTTCACTGATTCATAATCCTCATGTTACTCTTTTCCGTGTATTCAGCTGCAGATTTTCTAACTATTTTGCTGTGCATAAGCATTTCTAGCTGCAAGCTTCATTGAGCATAGTGATTCTGTGTGCTGAAGAAAAATCTGTCAACTAAAAGTCAGGTGAGTCTGATACTCAATTTTCCCAGTGTAATTGCAAGGCAATAACATGATATTTGGGGAACTGTACAGAGCTTTCACCAGTTTTGCAAAGTGTCTGTTCATTTCAGCAAAATAGTTACCCATTTTCAAAAGAGAAGTGCTCTCACTAACACCAAGTGAGAAAAGCGGAAGCTAGGGTTTACATTCACATTCATACTTCTAGTCATCCACAAGTCATGACTTAAAACACCAGCAATGGTTATTAAAATTCATAAAACTATTCAGAAAATGATATTCCAAGGCTCTTCCTCCATCTCTTCTTAGGTAGAAAACAAATTTGAATTCAGTATAATAAGAGCAGGGGGAAATGATTGAGACTGATTTATGCTGAGAGGCTACCTAAAACCTTGTTCTTGTATTGTGCAGTATTGTGTTGACTTCTGAGCTCAGAGCTGACAAGATGGCTCTCACAATGAGCTCCTAAAATAAACTATGTCTCTTAGAGTTCAGTTATTTCTTTCTCTAATATACTCATAGACTGTGCTATAAGCCTCAAACAGGCAACTCAATTCTTTACTGATAATGCAACAATTTACTCACAGGCATAAAATTGACTCTACTGTCTCCTTTCATGGTCGTTGTTTAACCCTGGTTCTCTTCATGGAATATTATATTTTCCCTCCAATTATTAACCATCAGTATGGACAGAGTTCAACAGGAGATCATAAAACCAGTACATACAAATATTAAATTTGTCCCAATGCTCTATTTAGACGAGCTTGGAGTAGAGAGTACATTTTAGGATTTTCCCTTATGTTACTATTAGCTTGAATAGAGAACCACATATTTTGTTCTAATATCTTAAAGTATTGTAGCTATAATTTAGGACCTTTGCTCTTAAACCCTAACATGTCATAGATTAGGGACAAACAAACCAAGGTTTAAAAAAGTTTCTAGTGTCCTAGATATAATTTATTTTTTCCCATAATTTCAGCTTCATTGAAGGCAGTATTTTTTTCTAAAACATTTGCACTTTACAAAGAGTGTATTGACTCTGTTTGTGGCAAACGTGTCATAAATCCCATCAGTATACTCATATGTGTAGTTAATCTTTCCCATTCAATTATGCTCCAGCAGGATAAGAATTTGTAATGTTTCCTTTTGTTATTCTTTTTACCCTGGTAAATGAACACACCATAAAGTATGATTGAAAAGAACTGAGATAATGCTTCTAATAATTCCCATTTTATTCACTTTTTCCTTTATATATGTGTTATCTACCCTTCCCAAGTTCACATAGCCTAAATTGACTATGTTTCAAAATTGTTTGTACATTTTGACTCTCTCTAGTATGAATGTTTTTGATCCCCAAGTGAAAAGGCCCAAACAGGATAGTAAGTCTGGGCTGTTTTCACATATGGAGACAACAGAGTAATAGAAAGAGCTTTAACTCCCAAAGAATTTGGTTTGAAATCCAAATGCATACAACTTTCAAATGCCAATCATACTTCAATAAAGTGATTTTTCAGAAAAGCTAATAGGGCCAAGACAATTGCTTAAATTTGGGCATTTTTTCATATATTTAGCGTATATTTCTTTATTTTTAAAATGGACAAAAATAATAGAGTATAAAAATGTAATATAGATTTCCCAATTCTTTTTAGTACATTGACTGTACAATAAATAAGGGATATATTAGATTTTGATGATTAAGAATCCAATATAAATATCTTCTGAAGAACTGCAGGTAGATCATAATTCAAGGCAGTGTACCATATAGACCATGACATGTTTCAAGGCACAGGCCAAGAAGATTTTGTACTTTTCCACCACCTGGACCCTCTTACCCCCTCCCCTTGTAAAACATGCTATAAAAAAGCATTTCATGTTCAAAAAAAAAAGAAATTAAAAAAAAACAACAACAAAAAAAACACAAACATATATGTAGCAGATGTGCAGCTTGATCTTCTTGTGGGTCCCTAAGAAGTGGAGTAGGAGCCTGCCAGTGGGATTTGTTCTTCTAGCTGTGGTGTCATATCTGGCCTCAGTGGGAGAGAATA